TTTTAAGTATAAATGTTTTATTTCTTGCGAAAGCATCATAAAACTAATTTTTTTTAAAGTTTCTGAGATTAATTAAGATATGTAATTATTATACAATTGAGTTATTTATCCATCGTTTTATTCTAAAATGTAATATAAATTATAATTTGTTCAAACTTGACTTTTGTATTATATTTGTAATTATATTTTTATAATTAAATATAATTTGAAATTATAAGTCCTTTTATATAAAGTTTATAAAATGTCATGTAATCATATATGTTTGTAATACATACGTTATATTATATTTATTATAATTATTTATTATATTTATTATAATTATAATTATATATATATATATATACCAATATAATTTATATTATATTTATAATTATAATTATATATATATATATATATCAATATAATTTATATTATTCTATATTAATTAAATATAACTTTGGATAACGAGCTTATTTCTCAATATCATCTGATCCTATTGATGTAATAAATATTCATACTTTTCATAGGACGGCACGAACGCTCTTATCATTGTGTAATTCGAAGATACGAGATTGTCCGGTATCTTGCATGGCACCGCGGGCGTCCATGCCTTCAAACGTAATTCTGTCGCGTAATTCATGCAGGCCAACTCTGGAGGCGCCTTCGAATTTATCTATTCCGCGACAGTTAACGGTTGGCACAATTTCCTTTTGATTTGGAGAGTTGTTTTTGTGAAGGTTAGCACGTAGGACGAGTTAGACAAATGCGTGCTGAGTGATGAAGACGGCTCTGGAACGTTTCTTTCGTTCGAGCGACAGATCGATTTATCGAATACAAATTTTACAATTTTTGCGGATAATGCATGTAAAATATACAGACCTCAAAAAATTATAAATTGCAATAACAATAAAATACATGTAATGAAGAATATAATAATATATTTTGTTTTGTTGACAAAAGTAATAGTGGGTTTTGCAGATATCTAAAACAGAAAATTTAAACAATCCTTCAATTTTTACTCCCGACTGCTGCCAATCAAATCGTTGACACAACGGAGGGAGTATGTATTTCATCAAGGCTAAACTTTTAATTATCTTAGTTCTCAGTAATTATAACATAATTTTATATAAACTTTCGCACATGAGTTTGTTATTAATCAAAGATGGTTTATGTGATATAATTATCATTTATTGTTGCATTAATAAAAAGTTAAAAAGGTTAAAGTATTCCGTTTGTTATTTTTTGCGCATTTTACTTTATTATTTTCGATAGGGAAAGAACGCTGTGCAGACTGGTTTTAAAAAAATTGGTTTTAAGAACCAATGTAAAGTGATTGGCAAGATTAAACTTGGTAATTGCGAAATTTCAATTTGTGGTTTGCGACGAGCTCTCGATCGAAGATTGATTTATTGTTTAAGGCTTTATACGTGATTGATGAAGTGACTAAAGAAAATTTTGTCCTCTCGAAGAATTTATAATAAACGTTTAGGTTTTACAAAAGAAATTGGGCTGCCGGTATCTATCAGAGCGGTTAACGAACAAGATATATTATTTATTCTAATAATGTTCAAAGGTGAATTTTGAATTTGAACATTCCTATCCTGGAGGATGGACAAAAGCAATGTGCGACGTTGCCTCAATCGTCGAGACAGTGGACGCTGCCGTGGTAGTCGCTTGTTTTTTCTTTTTCAATTTAAAGCTCTCGATCCGTGTATGTTCAGAAGTTTTGCAATAATGGCAAAAAGCAGCACTCTTTGAATCTTGCTTCAAAATTTGTTCGCCTTTTACCGCTGGATTTGCCGATTGTTTCCCTATGTTTCGTCCATTTGGAATTACCTGGGCTTCTTTTGTCAGGGGGGGAGGGGGCGAGGGGTAACAACCCCTAACAAGAAGATTGATGTATATAATTCAGAAACTAGTCTACAGCATTTATAATTTAATGACGCTGCTATCCCTCTTAATGACCTATTGTTTATGCCGCTAATAAGTAAATGAATAGTGCTATCATCGATAAATTCAAATTATGAGTCAACGTTTAAATCATCATTTCTATGAATTGGAAAAGCATGATTTTGAAAATGTGTTTGAAAGTCAAGTTCCTGTTTTATAACAATTACTTATTGGCTAGTCTGTTATTATACTAGAGTTGTAAATTAATTTTTTTGCTTTCTCAAAGTGATCATCTTAAGTCAATTGTTTTATTTTATGAGCCATCTGGCTTTTCGGGATCGAATATAATATACTTTTACTTAGCATCTTCAATACCACCGTCATTATCTTTGGTCCGCAATAACTTTATATTGTGATCGATCAAGTGGATGACTATCGTTTGTATAACTTTGATTTCTATAACTTTAAGTTGGTTTAAATTTATTGTTATTCTACATTACTCTTATGTGTTAATGTAAAATATATCTTAGTCTAAGAAATTAGCTAAGTTGATTAAATAAAATATTCTAAATTATTATATTTAGCACAAATTGTTTTACAAGATTAACATTTTGAAACTTTTGAAGTAGAAAAAAATCAAATATTTATCTGAACTTCTATTTCCTACATAAATAATGATTTTTGTTGATTGACTTCTTTTAATTTTCCAAATGTCGAGTTAAATTTTTAGAAATATCTGAATTTGAATTTTAAACTTTCTTTAAATTTCTTTTACAATTCTTTAAACTTATTATCGACTAAAAAGTCGATATAATATTACAAAATAAATTGCCATACCAATAAATACAAACATTCCGCTTGTAAAAACATTTTATCTAATAATTGCCAATCATCTTATATATTGATTTCTGTGTTACATTAGATCCATTTCTTCGATCTTTCCGCCTTCCTTATAAACTTGTTCTAACTTACACGATAAAGTTGGAAAAAGTTTAAGCCGTCTAAGTTCCACGTCTCGTTGATCCTTTTTCCATTCCTTCGAGTTACGACCGGTGATCGCGACGGTGGCGCGCCGATCTTATCACGCTAATTATAGAAATGCGTGCCAAGCGCATTAGTCGCCATAATAAGAGCGAGTTCGGTTCGGGATTCGGATTGCGTGACCGTGAATGGCCGATTATCAATTCCGAGGTTTTTAATACCTTCACGCATGAGCGTGCATAAACGGAACCCGCTTATCCCCGAGACTTAATCCTTTTATTAAGGGTTAGTTAATGCCTCTGATTTTTCGTACACACACACCTTTTCGATTTGATTCCGATATTCGCGAGCACAACGCGATGATGTAAATCCAATGCTCGTTTCATAATGCAGGGTAAATCGGAGCGATTATACGATAATATTTTCCACCGATGGCATTAATAGTCGCAGCGTTTATTATTAATCACGTTACGTAAACAATTGCCACTTAATTTTATATCATATCAGAATACATTTGGATATTTTATTCAGGATAATCTTTGGATTGGAAGCAAGGAAACCATTACACTTTATAATAACTAATAACGCACAAGAAATTAATA